CCAAACTCTGTCTCCACCAGTACTAGTCACCACTGCTGGTTGGCTGGGCCTGTTGGGTGAGTATAAAAGGCTTCAGCCTTGCTTTGCTGCTGGTGACTTGGTAGACTGGAATGCACTGAAATATGCCTTGGTGGTCCCTTGGGGCTACTGGGGGCTGGAACCAYGTGGTAGGCTTGAGCTGTTGGTAGCACTGGAACAAAGGTCCCCTCCTTGGTCAATTGGTAGTAGGAACCATTGTTACTAGGTTGATCCTGGTGGTTGTTGCCTCTACGTCCTCTGTTGAAACCTCTTCCTTGGAAGCCTCTACYCAGGAAGCTTCTTCCACCACAACTGCAACCTGGTGCATTCCTCTTGTTTCTTCTGTTATCTGGGCAGTCACTCCAAGAGCGAGCTCCATTATGTCTTTTGCATGGAGCAGCATCAGCTTTCCTTCTTTATTGCTCTCTTTTCTCAAAGAAGGCCTTGCTCTACTGAGCTTGTGGATTTTGTWTGTATCTAATTTTTAGTCAAAGTAGTCATTACACGGCCCAAGATGTATGACTAACTTATACATCAGCTGGCCAAGCCTATACAATATAGTGTGTAGGTCCGGTCTGGGGACTCATGATTGATTCTTGACTTGTAGTACCATAGGTCTGTGGGATTCACAAGTGGTTCACCAATGGCCCTCAGTACTGAACCTATGTAATTGTTGCACTCTTGCCCAGCAAGAACAATAACAGGGCTTTCTTCTTGTGGTTTCTTTGTCATCTCTTATTTCTTTCTCCTTCTGCTTCTTACCAATATCCTTTAGTCTACTACTACCACTAGTAGAACTCCCACCAGTGTCCCTCCTCCACCACTAGCAAGGTTTGAACATTCTTCACTTGCATCCACCACCCTTTCCCTGTACTTGATCTACAGTGGGTTCTTAAAGTTCTGTTCTTGTGATATCACTTGGCAGGTACTAGCCTAGTATTCTTATATCTTTGTTCTTGATGTCACATTGTGTCATGCAGAAAAAAACTTGATATTGCATTTAACCTAGTCAACTAGAAGAGGCACTACATGGCCAAAGTTGTTGTTGTTGTTGTTGTTGTCAATTTGTTGTTGTCAATTTGTTGTCAACTTGTTGTCCTTGGTAGCTGGCTTCAATAGCTTGCTGAATACTAGTGTCACTGATATACTGTTTTGGATGAACTGTTGCTGAATAGTGTTGCCAATGAGTGTTTTGAGTGTTGCTGATTAACGTCAATGGGGGGGGGGGGGCAAGTAGCTGTTGGTTGTCAGAACAAGATGCGCATCCACAACAAATGTGGTAGCTTCAGCACACAAGGATGACGACACATCTGCGTCTGACAATTGACAAAGAGTTGCCTTGCTGCTAGCAATATCATGAAGGAGCAGTATTGGCCAAGTAAATATGTTCATTGAGGATGTATTTCTGGCACATCAATTGACATCATGACAAAAATTCCATAGAAAAAATGGTGTAGTTGGACAAGATTTTGTGATGTCTATTGGCGCGTTTGGCATATTTTACACAGGAAAAAGATGSCCCAGAATCTACAATGATTGGATTGTAAATCTGGGTGCCAACTTTATACAGTAGTTATCTATCAGTTATAAAACTGATTGAAAAGACAAGGAAGGACAAGGGAAATGGTGGGCATGCTATATTGAGGAGTTACTCATGATTCATTCAGCAATCAAGTCAGCAATCAAGTCAGCAATCAATTCATAGCCACCAATCAATACATACCAAGCTAGCAATTGATTCAAATGCCCAGTAGTTACCAAGTTGATCAATTTGGTGCAGAGCTTCAGTGTGCCAGTGATTTGTGTTATTTTGTTGCATGTTTATGTGTTATTTGAATTATTTTTTATTATATGTGTTATTTGCTATCATTGCTATAATATTCAAATCATTTTTTTTCAAATGCACAAAATTACTACACTTTGCTTCTGAAAATTGCCACCTAGATTTCCTACTGATTCCTACATAGTACATACCTGACCAGCACCTTCTGGTGTCTGAACCCACCATGGTGACATCCCTTTCTGAAGGGGAAAATCATCCTCCCTGGCTCCATCCAAGACAAGAAGATACAAGCTAATGACTATGGTTCAGTATCCTTCCTAGTCTCTGTCCCAGCTGATGGAAGTTGGCCTATCCATCCCCAGTTCTGATAGACCGGAAGTACCTTCCAGTGTTGAAGTTGTTGTGGTTTCTGACCTTTGTGCTGGAAAGCAACAACAACACCCCCAGCCCCCAGTATCCAACCAAGATCTATTGAAGAACAATGCCTGGAGTATACTATACTACATCATACTCAGTTTCAAAGATTCCTCAGCCTCTCTATGCAGTTCTAGTATCATCTACGGATCAGAAGAAGATGATTCTGTTCAAGACATTGTTGTTTCTGACATCCATGTTGGACAGCAACAACAACAACCCTAGCCCCTGGTATTCCACCAAGACCTATCCTTTGAAGAACAATGCCTGGACTATATGCTACATCATACTCAGTTTTAAAGAAGATTCACCAGAATCTCCATGGAGTTCCATTACTACAGACCAGAAGCCCCAGTGTTTTCTGGTCACAGTGTTGTTGTTTCTGAYATTTGTGCCAGAAAGCAASAACAACAATCCCAGCCCCCAGTATTYAACCAAGACCTATCCTTCAAAGAACAACTCCTGGAGTATATGCTACATCATACTCARTTTTAAAGAAGATTCGCCAGCTTTATCTCCATGCWGTTCCAGTATTTACAGACCRGAAGAAGATTCAAAATCAAGACCCTGCTGCTATTTCTGACATTTGTGCATGCAGGACTTTAATAGCAACCCCATCTGTGTATTTGAGATACATTTTTGTTGGAATAACAAGACAGTAAATGCTGGGACCACCACCAGCAGCTCTCCTCAAATTAAATTGAATTCCAAAGAATTTTGTAAAAAGGGGGTAAAGAGGTATATTCATGCACCTAGCCTGCTGGGTCCTTGATACTACTCAGAACATTCCAGCTAATATATTTTGGTTATGTTTTCAGGAATGACCCATTATTGGTGAAAAATAACCTACATTTTCAGAATATGGTTATTCTTGGTGAAAAATGACCGACAAAATCCCCCCCCCCCCCAAATTAAGATGGTACTCAAAGGGGGGGGAGGGGTGCTTGCACATGGGTTCCTGTTGGCTCTGTACAAGTTTAATCAGAGTAAAATCACAGCCAAAATTAATGCAAAACTTTGCCATCCACCAGTGGTATGACTTTCACAGACTAGTAGTTCTACTACTAGTAGTACTACTAAGCCTCTAGAACATCCATTGGCTTCCCAGTGACACCAACCTTTAGGTAATTGTATTAACTTGGACTGGGCGCTTAGTTTGGTGGTGGTCTATAGATTTTTATGACCTATTTTGTATCACAGCTGGTCTCTGAAAACAGCAAAATTTGGTGAGACTGGCTGTGTCTGAGTTAATGTGCTTTCAGCTCCCCCCAGGCTTATAATTCTTGTGTAACAATGACACACAGCACTGTTCTGAACACTATGACAGGCCTTTTCTGAGCTKTTGTGGTTAGCTTATTGAACTGTTTGGGGTCAAAAGAGTGACCAAATACTAGTAGATCTATGTAGGATCAGTACAAAACACTGGGCTTCAAAATTAACTGTGATGCTAGTACTACTAGTAGGAGTACTAGTAATAATTTTTGGTGTTTGAGTAGAATGCCTTTTTGCCCTGTAGGGCGTGGAAGGGTTTTTACGGTTCGCATTTTACTCCGATTAAACTCGTACGAAGTACTCGATAACAGTACCAGTACTCGTACGCATTCCGTGCCTGACGATAATTATGGTACAGTAGTACTTGTACTCGTAGTTCGTATTTCGGTGCAGTAATTTCATCCTGTGGTAGCGCGAGCGTTGTTATCGTGAAGTACGGTACTACCTGGTAGGAAATTGAAGGAATACGAAAYTGTTTTTTTTCAGTGGGCAMTTCAAAAGCAATGGAAATAAGATTTATTAAATGAGTTGGTTTTAGGTGAACCAAGATAGTTTGAGGACGATGCAATATGGTCCATGGAATTGTATCCCACAGAGGTGATACTGGAATGAGCTCTAGAGATTTTTGACAGTTCTATTARAGTGATAAATATGCTGCTCTTCTTTTGAATTTACTTAAACAACACCTATTATTTTCACATAGGGAGTTCTTCCCATTAATTGTATCTCTTATCTATTATATTGTACTTCCTCAAATGCAAAAATTCTTCATTCATTTTTTACATGGTTCTTTTTAGTAGTCGAAATTTTTCATTGAAATACAAAGAGAGAACGCGTCTGAATCCTGGAAATTAACAAATACTTAACGTAGTTCACATTCCAAAACATGCTGGCGGCTTTTTTTGCAGGGATGAACCCTACTTTATATCGATTCAAACAGTACCGTACCGTACCGTTATACTAGAAGAATGACTCTAGAACCGATCTTGCTTGCGTGGATATTATCATTACTAAGTTATGCTGATGTAAAACGAAAGACACGTATACCACTYATCAGTAACCATTTTGTTCTAGCGCCTCTTTAGTATCAGTACCGGCGCATCTACCAGCAGTTGTAAAACATSATAATGACCGTAGCACGACCATATGTACTTTTTTTTCATTTGAGTACCAGTACGTACCGTAACACCATAAATTATTACTTCGAGATAAAAACAATGCATTACTCTCGTACCTGGAAGACTGAGTTTTGATACCGTTTTTCGAGCTACTTCAGTTGAAGAAAGAGAAGGCGTCGCTTGGGTGTGTACCGGTACGTACCGTACGTACCTAAATGAAAATTTTGTCCCAGCGATATTTTTTTCCGTAGAAGCCCACGAGCATCCTACGCRTTTAATATGATTGTCGTGTGTGCAAAATTCTTGAGCAGCACCAGCCAGAGCACAGCAGTCCAACGWAGGCACAGTGTCGCAATCCGCATACATTGAAAAATACCTTTGTCTGCAGATTTGAAAGTTCTTGACATATTATTATTTTCAAACAAGAATACTACCCTTAAAATCACAAATAGTAGTGTGAGCAACAACTGAACAAACATGCCTATCAACAACGAGCAACATACTGATTGGAATGGGTATGCCATGCCTTCGAATCCRAACAGGAATATCGATAGCAATGTGGAGGAGGTGACCAGAAAAATTGCGCCTGCTATGATCACGCCATCACTCGGACCGATGCCTCCCATACCTGCTGGTATGTTATCGTCGTCGTCGTCTCAGCCAGATCATTTCATCAATGCATATCCTAGAAAGGCATCGCCACCATTCTACCACGAACGAACATCGAGTTCGTTCTCTTGGAAGTTGACATCTGTCCCCGTCCTACCGGAATCTCACAGAGTAGAGAGGTCGGCCGCATTCGTTCCGAATGCYGAGCCCATCGAGGTTTCCTCAAGAATCAGCGATATGCTGCGAGAACGATCCATTCAAGCACAATATGAAAATGGGAAGGCCAAGGTGAAGTGCACAACCAACGAAGGTGTTGACTTTCGTATACGRTTGTACCGAGGCCGCGGCCGTTACAAYCACGGTATTATTGTGGAAGTTCAACGGATTTTTGGCACATCCTTGATGTTTCACAGCGACACACAAGCCATCCTAGAAGGAGCGCAAGGAAAGACCTCGGCTTCAATTCCAACACCTACCAAAGCCTATCTTCCAGAGGTTTCCGAAGAAGATACCCAAGAACACCAAGTTAATGTTATTTCAAACGCTGAATCCTCTTTCACAGYGGTAGAAAAGATGATGCAACTGTCCGGCTTCGACTCTCAATACCTTGCTCTTCAGATGCTTTCGCCGTTGGTGGACTCGAAACGGTTGAGCGCGTCTACAGCGCGTGCGGCWGCCACGATTCTATTTCATCCAGRTTCTAAGGTAGGCAAGAATGTCATGAACTACGTTGCCAAYAAGAAAGTGGTTGTTTCAAAACCAAAGAAACGAGGACCATTTGACGACGAGGACGATGATTCCGATGAAGACGAATCCTATCTTGTGTTGCGGAACTTGTGTCTGAACATACTGGCGAATGCCGCAAAATCTTATGGACAAGCCCCGMCGTTTCTAAGAGAACGACTGCGATCGGTACTGATAGAAGATTTAAGTGAGGCAGAGACTCATCCAAACACGGCTTTCTTGGCCGCGAAGTGTTTGGAACACGTTATTCCCGGAGACGAGTGCACGGCCGAGCTCAACAGAGCCTTTCGAGTAGCGCACAATGTTGGCCAAGCCCGACACGCTAACCTAATGCGTCAGGCCAAAAAATGYATGGACGCCACGGATAGCGTTTCGATCAAACGATAATGCTTCTTAATTTTTATTTTTTACTCTATCAAGGAAACCAACTAGTGAGCAGATGAATGTACAGGAAGCAAGTCGGAAAAGRCTGTAGTGCGTATTACAAACGGGGGACCCTTCATATTCCATACTTTACAGGATGATTGATTCTTTTTAATTGCSATCTCAGTCGATGGAGACAAGAGAGACAATCAATACCTTGGCACCGCACGAACAAGCATGCCAAGTTAGCATGTCAGGCGGGACAACCACGCTATTCCTTATTGAAGCATTCTATGGAATGTTGTGTTGTACGTAATTAAGGTCTAGCGAGTTTCAGCTGTTACGTCACGACTGACTGGCTTCACTGTCAAAACTCGTTCTTCTGATATTATCACGCGTTGAAGCGCAAGTTGAATAGTGATTTTTTTTGATACTGTATTGACAATTTTCAATTTTTCATTTACACACTGCGGCTTACAGATTCTTATCAATACATGGTTTCTGTCACAGAACGAAGTGTAGCATGGACTATAAGTAATACTAAGAGTTTCGTAACAATAGAAACAGGACTCCGCCACAGAGCAATAAGTAATAATTTCTTCTGAACTTCAAAATGTCTCTGTAGACTAGGAAGCGAACCGTTCACAAGCATTTTACTTATGCTACACGTTTTCACAAGATGGTGTGAGGAATGGTTCATTCCCGAAAACATATTCTGTGATATGTTTTCGGGAATCACTTTCAGTGGTACAGATGGCACCGCCGGCCAGCTCAACTTACATATTTTCCCCCCATTTTTGGAATTTGGAATCCTGTTGCTGTCGAAAATATGTGCTTTTTTCTTCCTTGACACTTGAATCGGTTTGCCGCTCCCAAGACTGGAAATGTTAAGTCAAGGATTCCGATGAAAAAATATGTCAATTACATAAATGTTGGTAGTAGTGGGCCCACCTCTACCAAAATTTATGTTTTTTTTTACATAAACCGAGCCGGGCGTGCCAAAAAGTACACAGATATATGTTTTCGGGAATGAACCAATTGCACGAACGGCACGTATCCGTTGCACCGGCCAGGACCGATCCGCTCAAGATTGCGAACCCCTTTTTGAATATTCGCCCCCTAAAATACATCATATCCGAWTTCACGAATTCATTAAAATTTGATGAAAATAGTTTAGAAATAGTAGTATGAATATGGTACTAGTCTCTTGCAACGATAATTGCACTCTCATTATTGCTGCACCAGCACTGCCAAAATGTACTATATAGGCCCTAACTCCCAAATCAACTGGTACCGTAGTTGGTACCACTACGTACTTTTGCACATGTGATGACTGTTTTGTGTGCAAAATTAACATGCAAAACCGGTACTGCATATTTTCCTGGGGTTGTTCTTCCTTTGCCTATGAGGTGCATTTTCATGCATTGACTATAGTGTATTRCAATGATTTGAAACCACAAATCATTCACCTCCTCAACTGAAGTACACATTAATTTTTGTCCCTTCACTTTTAAAACTTGAGTTTTCTTTTTAATTCAAGCAATGACATTAGCAAGGACTAGCAGTACAACTAATGATGGCATGCCAGCAAGAAGAACAAGAAACAACCACCGCCACCCTTGGACATGGAAAATTAGGGAGGGGAACAGTTGCACTTGCAGCACTTGAAGCAGCTGATCAAAATAGGCAGCAGGCGGAGGCTGTGGTAGAAGCGGAGGAAGTGGTCACAGAGGAGGAACAGCATCAGCTGATTTTTGTGAATGTGGATGTGAACACTCATCTCCTGGAGGAAGGGGAGCAGTGCTTGAAGCTCCACCAGCTGGATGCAGGGGGGGAGGAACANGCTGGCCAAGCCTATACGATAAGCCAGCTAAGAGGAATGATATTGCTGATGATTGACTTACAAGTGAAGTTGCTCCAGCAATTTGTGACTCTGTTTGTGTTGCAAAGGTGCTTGGCCTTAGCTTGCTGCGATCATCTTTTCAACCATCTACTGTTGATCTAGTACCAGCTGATATCAGACACCAAGTGGTATCCTAATTCATCGTTCTTGAGAGTTAAATTTGTTGATGGAGTGAATCCAGTGCAGAGGGTGAGAGTGGTTCCATCAGAGGTGGTGTGAGGATGGATGAGATAGTAACTGATAGAACTGAAAATATATTTCTATTAATGTAGCTGATGTGAAAAGCCAGTTGAGAGCACTGCAACAAGCTACAATAAGGAGAGCTCTGACTTCAGCTCCTGCAAGGATTGTGGTTGATAGTGGTAGTGTTGTCAGTGCTTTGACCAGCACTGCTGGTGGTACTATACAAGTTTCAACAGTAGCTGATGCTCCTATTGACACCTCTTGTCCTGACCCTCCTGCAACACTGGCATCTAATCTGAAGTATGTCCCCATTCTCTGGGATGAATGGTGTAATAAAATTGTTTGGAGGAAGCTAGAAAGGGGTTTTACTGAAGAGGAAAATACAGGGACAAGTACAGTAAGAGACTGATTATTTGGAAGTTTATGAAGAGGCTGACTGAAAGAGGAGGGTACACAATTAATGTTGCAGTTAGAAGGATCTGTTACATGTATAGTTATTTATCAGTTACACAGCTGATTGAAAAGATGATGAAGGACAAGAGGAATGGTGGACATGCTAGTAGATTGAGGAAGCTACTGCTTGTAGTTGATTCAGCAATCAATTCATAGCCACCAATCAATACATACCTAGCTAGCAATTTATTCAAACACCCAGTAGTTACCAAGTTGATCAATCTGGTGCAGAGCTTCAGTGCACCAGTGATTTGCAATATTTTGCATGTTTATGTCTTATTTGTATTATTTATTATTGTATGTGTTGTTACTAAAAGGGCAGTGTTGGATAGTAGCTGTTAGTAGTAAGAAATAGTATGCTGTACTCCTCCCTATTCACACTATAAGCAGCATCTCCACTACCAGTACTATTGGGTCTGTGCTGGTGCTTGTGAGAATCAGTACCAATCAGTTCCTATCAAAGTGTTTCTTTCCATTAGGTCCAGCAGGAGKAAGCAATACTCTTAGTAATGTCCAATTGAAAATTTTCAGGTTTTTTCTTGTACMTATATTTTCCAGTACTAGTAGTTGCTACCAGTAGCACTCTTACAAGAACTACACTCTATGACCTCAATGTACTACTACTACGCCAGTATTGTTTTGACACTATTTTTCCTCTGGTTTGCCCTGTATTCTAGTGAGTTGGAGATGATTTGCACTTGTGTAGGATTCTACGCACTTTATACCATGTATTTCTTTTTGTATTATTTCATATGATAGTAGTATACCCACATGGTATSTCTGAAATGATACTGCAGATACAGATGTATTTTCTCATGTTGATTCCTGTGTATCGTATAGCGTTGGCGGAGTGATTCCGGCCGACCCAGTCGTACATTAGCAATTCAATATATTCGTAAACGAATATCAGTCAATATTTGTCGTA